GTCCCGCCGTGACCTTCCCTCCCACCTCGTGTGCTCTGGTGTCCTGCTGCAGCCTGGGAGCCGTGGGCTTGCTCCTGTTCCCAGTGGGGTCTGACGGTGTGGGTGGTTTTCCCGGGTGGAGTGCCTGGGTGGCGGGTGGGGGCAGCCCCAGTGCAACCTGGGACCACGTTGCTTCGCGTTTCAGGACAGCGGTGAATGCGCAGTCGGGGGTCTGCCCCCCCGCCGGAGGGCTCGTGACAGGTACGTCCCCCAACCCCGCCGTGGGCTGCTCTGCAGGCCCCTGTGCCCTGCGCCCGCTCTCCCTGGGTGCCGGGGGTCCCGTGGGTCAGGTGCTCCCCATCTCCCGCAGGCGCCGTGGTCCTGCTCTCGCTGGCGTACCTCACCTCGCTCTTCTACTACATCCCCAAAGCGGCGCTGGCCGCCGTCATCATCTCGGCTGTGCTCCCCATGTTCGACGCTGGGATCTTCAGGACGCTCTGGAGGGTTAAAAGTGAGGGCACGAGCTGGGGGTGGTCGATCCCCCCGACGCAGTCGTGGAGCAGGGGCTGTCCCCGAGGGCCCTCGGGTACAAGGACAAGGCGCAGCCCAGCCTGGGTCTTCTCTCTTGCAGGGCTGGACCTTGTGCCCCTCTGCGCGACGTTCCTGCTCTGCTTCTGGGAGGTCCAGTACGGCATTGTGGCGGGGGTGCTGGTCTCAGGGATTCTCCTCCTCTACTCCATTGCCAGGCCCCCAGTAAAGGTGGGTGGCGTCAAGGCTGGCTGGACTGGGACAGGGCTCCCGAAGGACAGTGGGACATTGGGGTGCAAGGTGCTTCTGACCTGCTCCCGCCTTGTCCCGTGTCCCCAGCCTGCCATCGGCACAGCACGGGGACCCCTTTCACAAGGAAAGGAGTATCCCAGGAGCTGAGAGCAGATTCCCTGAGGGATGGGGGCTCCTGCATGACCCCACCAGCAGGAAGGACAGGGCTTTGCTTTGTCACACGGGTAGTTGTTCCAGCTCCCCCCGACTGATCCCCCTCCTCCGGCTTCTTGTGCAGGTGTCAGAGGGGGACGTGCTCCTGGTGCAGCCGGGGAGCAGCCTGCACTTCCCAGCCATCGAGGGCCTCCGGGACACCGTGTGCAGTTGTGCCCTGGCAGGTACAGGGCTCTCTGGCCCACTGACGTGTCCTGGGGACCCACCTGGGTCACTGCCGAGGGAGGTGGCCAGTGCATCCCAGACCCGCGGGCTGCGAGTGCAAGCG